CTGACTCCGACAGCTAAAATAATTCTGGAGCAAGTAAAGCCATTTTGAGCAGCTAGTCTGCAGTATGGATTTGTATTGATTAGTTAGGATTCTGAAATCCCAATAAGTTTTCATCACTTACCTTGCCAGGCTATTACATTCTTCTTTCATCTTTTTCTTTCCTTTTGCCTCCCAAACTCTTTGTGTGGAAGTTAATCGGCCAAATGAAGGAAAACTAAATATCCAGAACCTGTTTGGTCATCAGGTATACCAATGTTATACAGATTCTTGCTTTCTTCCATTGGGTCCTCCTTATAATTCAGTGGTAGAACACTTGCCTACCATGCACAAGGCCCTGATTTCAATTCCTGGCACCACCAGAAGAAAAAAATAAATTTAAAAGATTTGTTCTCATAGTAGTATTCTGGAATTCAGAAAGCAAACATCTTCTCTTCCTTGATGCTCTACAATTTGGGAATTGATATGGACATAGAAACTGGGCCTCCAGACTTCCCCTTTCCTTCACACCTGTCAGCTTACCTACTCTACTCCAGCATATTCAATGTACCCATTTTCAAGGTGAGTAGACATCCTCAAGAAGGATAGTATCTGCTCTGCCTAATATTCTACCAACATGTTCCCTACTGATAAATATTATCTGATTTAGGTCTCTCATCTCTCTCTACCTTCTTGCTCAGCACTTATTAATTCATGCTGCTTGTATTTCTTTTAGAAAGTATGTGATATATTCATTAAAAGTTGCATGGCGGTATATGCCTGTAATCCCTGTTACTCAGGAGGTGAATGCAGGAGGATCACAAGTTTAAGGCTAGCTGGGCAACTTAGTGAGAATGTCTCAAAAAGATTTAAAAGGGCATACAATGTAGCTTAGTGATAGAATGTTTAGTATATCAAAGCCCTGGGTTCAATCCCCAGTACCACAAAAAAAGTTGCATGTAAATCAAATTACTCTATAGTCCCTGGGAGAGCAAGTTGAAGAGGTCCTAAGAAAGGTTCTTGTGGGATGAGCAGTTAGCAGTACTGTGCTGTAATGTTGTTCTTAGTACTACGTAAACTTAGATAAGTTTTGCACCTTAGTTTCTCCATCTGTAAAATGAGAACGTTGAAACAGGTGATCTTTAGGACCCTTCACCAAATCTAAAATTATATCACTAGAATGTTTTGATATTTTATTTTGAGGTTATCCTGAGGGAAGATATACATTTCTTCCTATCTTGAAGAAATCTTACAAACTAAGTATATTTTTCCATGACAGTCTAGACTTATGAAAGATTGTTTGGAAATAAAGAAAAAGTAGAAAGAAAATAAAGGGAGGCATTCATAGCATCACTACCTTGAAGAGACAACTGTTGATGTAACTTCACACCAGCAGCTCATTGTCCATCATTCCTATCCATTAAGACTGTCCACAAGTAGACATGAAAGATGTGAAATTGGACTCCAGTCATATTACTTACAGTCGCCTGCCCCACACAACTGCCACTTGAGAGAAAGAGTCATCTATTTTCCCAGGTCACAGGATGACAAAGTCATCTACTTTCTACCAACCATAAGTTCCTGCTCAAGCAACTAAAGCCAATTACTAAATGGGTGACAAGAAAGCAATGGACAAGCTTGAGAACCAAGTTCTGGTTTCCCTACTTTGGAAGACAGCTATTTGTGGAGATAGAACTCATTCCAATAACAAGTAGCTAGCCCTTCTATGTTGTATGTCCTATATAACAACAACAACAATAATAATAAAATATCAATGAAAGAGAGAGAAACTTGGATTTTCTCCAAGTCTCTACCAACTTCCCTAACAACCAGCTCACAGAAGACATAACAGAATTGTATCACTCTGAGTGAACCTCCATTGTGAGGAAGGTTGCAGATAAAGACAGATGGGCAAAGGAAAGAAAATCTGATCCTGAAAGTAAGATATTCCATTCCCACTAGGTACGAAGCAGAGTAATAAAGGAATGAGCACCAGTTTTAAGATCTCCCCTGATAATCTAGTTGATCTGTCCTTACTCCAGCCCTTACAAGCCAAAGCTCAGGACAGACATCACAAGGACTGTCAACAATAATCCATGACTCCCATTTCAGCAGAATGACTGCTGACCAAAGGATTTCTCTAACTAGATTCCTCATAGAAAGAGAAATGTCAACAGAATCGCAGAAGAATCTGGTTCTGCTTTAAGCAGCCAGAAAATGTTGTATGAAAAGGAACTATAGGAAAGCGCCTCAGAGACTGAGTACATCTCCCATTCTCATCCTTCACTGAAATTAGGTGCAAGTTACTAAACTATAAGAAACAGACTGTGATTCACAGCAATCAAGTCCTGCATTCCAGCTATGAATGCAGACAAGCCAGGGATGAGTCCCTGCAGATTCTCTGTGCCCGAGCACACACGTACTCACAGGAAAATGCTCTGCTGCAGTACTGAGTGACAGCAAAGAGCCACCAAGGCAAAGCAGAGCTACAGAACCTCCCCTGCAGTCCCACCAGAAACACTGTTAATTGTGTTAATTGTTCTAGGTCTGGAGCCCCACATTCCCCCCACCCCCCACCCCACTGGTTTTTGTTCTTCGGTTGAAATGGGAATCTCTTAAAGACATCCTGAATTCTCTCATTTCATACAGTTTCTCTGAAGCAAGAAAATAAGCAGGTGGGGAAGGTGAAACTTACATAAGACTGGAGATACACAGGGCTTTCCTAGCCTGAGCAAATCAGCCTGAAGGAGACCCATGGGAATGGACTGAGAGAAATGAAGCAGTTTGGTGTCTCTAGAGTTCCAGAGCTCTGGGCAACACTTCCGCTTTTATGATAGTTTTTATAAGAGGAAGAAAACAGGCTGGGTCTTGGCCTCTAGAGAAGCAGAAACCCTTAGGGGATCTGGTTCAGAAACAGCTGGTTTCTGTGTACATCCAGGTGGCTGCTTCTGGATATTATAGATACCCACCCCCAAAACCAGGCTTGGCTCAATGTTAGGAGGCACCTTCAGTGGCTAAATTGCTAATTAGAACCTGTTTGTTCTGACAGTCTAGGAGACTGGGTAGTCTTGCATACACTGAGTTAGTCCCATCCAGGGATCCTACTCTCCTCACTCTACTGAGCCCCTCTTGAGGCTAGACAAATTCAGCTGCTGTCAAGAGGGGCCCCAAGACTTGACATCCCCCAGCAAGCTTCAGATTATTTTCCATGCCCTGATACAGCTTTGTCACTCCATCAAATAGCACTCTAAAAGTTAGCTCATGTGGTGTGTCCTATAGAGTGGCTATGCACTTCTCCCCCAAAGCATAGCCTAATCACAAATCTTCATGTTGGCAGAGCCTTGGGGATAAAGTCCCAGGGGACGGCTTGGATTAAAACTCTTAGATTTAGAAACACAAGGGCAGAGAGGAGTGGTTAGAACCCTGGACCTCAGTGAGAAGAGGGAAAGAAAAAAAAAAAAAAACCTCTCTTCTCATGTTAGAGCTGAAAAAAGCAAGAAGAGAGAAGTTTGATCCATTTTCTTTTTCTTTCTGAAACATTGCCATGGTCATAGTCACAACCAGCAGAGAGACTGGAAATCACTTTGTTTCTTCTGTCATCAGACTAGCTGAATTTTCCAGGATAAACTTAGTGGACATGGCAACAAAGACAACAGAGCAGCTGGCACTAATTGATTCCCTAGGTGACAATTTTGGTAGGAGCCAGCAGAATCCTGCTGAAAATCTTCATCTTCAGTATATAATCTGGGATCCAGGCTCCAGGGACTTTTTTTCTCCCAGTAATGGGGATGGAACCCAGGGCCTTGCACATGCAAGCAAGTGCTCTTACACTGAGCTACATCCCCAGCTGTCCTTGGGAATTCTTGGACTAGTTTTCTGTAATACTCTGACTGGAAATACACACACCCCACAACCCATGTGTACACACACACACACACACACACACACACATACACACAGATAATAGCTAACATAGATTGAGTGCCAGGTACTGTTCAAAGTATTTTTGCTTATTTCATTTAATCTCATTTAATCATTAGAACAATCAGTATTATCCCCATTTTACGATGGAAAGCTGAAGCACGGAAAGGTTTTGTGATTTTCCTAAGGCCACATGGCTAGTAAGTAGTGGAGCTGGGGTCTCGGTGTAGCTGAGAAGCTGTACTGGACACAAGGGCCTACCCAGGAAAAGGGCTGCAGAGGTCAAGGTTGTGATGCCACTGTCCAGACCCACTTCACTTGGTGAAAGAGACATGAGGCTGTGCCTACATATGCGATTATAAATACAGTCAGACATTAGGTGAGGTCTTCCCAAAGTCTCTGCTTTGACCACCACCATGGACAGTGTTCTTTGAAAGGAATAAATCAGTTAAAGGACTGGCTCTGGCTCCAATGAACACCACGCAGCCTGCCGAAGACTTAGATGTGAAAAAGCATGGCAAAGAGAGGGCTAGTCCAACGGGTCCTCCCCTCAGGAGCTGGACATACCTCTAGGACTGGCTTGTGAATATCAAAACTGGTCCCTCCAATGTTCCTGACTGAATGAAAGGTGCCATCTTCCTGAAAGAGAACGTGACCATCCCTGGGAGCCAGGGGATGGAGTTCTTTTTGGTTGCTATCTGAGGAGTGCAAGAGCAATAGAACTCTAGGAGAAGGAGGAAAGAAGCCAGGTGAGGGGAGTGAGGGAAGCCAGAATGACCTCAGAGGATAAGACAGAGCGGAGGGCAGCACCTCGAGGAGATTGCTTGCCATCTGACAGCGCACTCTCCTCCTTCTACAGTCGATTCCAGTCACCCTCCCAAAGCATCATCCACAGTTTGGAGACTTAAAGCACACCCCCCTCCCCTTTCCAATCTCTTCACAGTTCCGGGAGATGGGAGCTTTCCCAGAGGGGCAGTGGGCGCCCCCATCCTGAGACTCTCCGAGGTGCCGCGCTCTCCCTCGCCTCCCTGGGACCACAAACCGCAGCCTCCTCCCCGCCACAGCCCTCACCGGAGCGCTGGGGACCGAAGCGCCCAGCTCACCTCGCTCATCGCGGCAGCCGGACCGGGGCGCGGGGCGTGGGGCGCGGCACGCGCAGGTGATGCGAGGGGCCCCTTGGGGATGCGTGGACCACGGCCGAGAGTTGCCGGGCTCTCAGGCAAACGCCGGGACTGACGGGGAGCAGAGAGTTAGGGCAGACAACCGCTGCTTCAGTGCCTGCACTAGGCGCCTTCAGCTTTCAGATCGCTGCCAGGGGTCCCCTCGCGACCCTGTCCTGTCAAAGCCGCTCAGCGTACTTTCACCAGCTCCACCTTTTATAATCAGCTCCGGTACCCGCCTCCAGTCCAACCAATAGAAACCGCTCCTACCGCAGAGTGACAGCCCGTTACATCCAATGGTGGCAGGCTCGGAGATCTGCTGCATTTCCAAACTAGGATAAGACAGACAGAGCGGGAAGGAGGGGGAATTCGTAGGGGGAATGAGAGGACAGAAAATGAAGTAGGAAAAGCAATAAAGCAAAGGGGCAAAGAAGTAGTACACGAAGCAGGGGCAGAGGGAAGGAAGGAATGTAAGTTTGAAAAAAGGAAGAGAAAAGAGCTGGGAGGAAGTCAAGAAGGTAAGCGGGAACAAGAACCAGTGAATGAAAGACAAGAGGTGGCAGATTAAGATTTATAGTAGTTGGGGATATAACTGAATGGTAGACCGCTTGCCTAACAAGCAGGAGGCCCTAGATTTAGTAGTAGGTTAACAGTTTGAATAGACAACCGCATAAGAGGGGGAGGAAGTGAGGGAGAAAGCGGAGGGGAGGAGGAGAGGGGAAAAGAAGGAGACTGAGACTGGAGCAAATGAACACTGCTCTATGCCAAAGAATTGGAAAACTGAAGGGCCTATTTGAGTTTGAAGATCATAGATCTTAGGAGTTGGAAGACATTTTAGAATCCCTCAAATCCTACCTCCCACACAAGGGAAAACTAATCCAAAACACCTCTCCAAATGATGATCCTCCAGGGTCCAATTGAACAGTATAAGCCACCCCTCCAAGTTAATTTACAATTGCATTTTCATTTAGACTAATAACGTACCCGCTGCGTCATGTGCCTGTGCAATGGCTGTGAAACTATTTAAAAAAAAAAAAAAGCCAGACATGGTGAGGAACATCTGTAATCTCAGCTACTGGGGAGGCACAGATAGGAGCATGGACGTTCAAAGCCAGCCTTGGGGAAAAGTTAGTGAGAGCCTGTATCCGAAACAAGCTGGACATTTGGTTCACACTGCAATGTCAGGTACTCGAAAGGTTGGAGGTAGGAGAATCACAGTCTGAGGCCCAAGGAAAAGTGCAAGACCTTGTCTGAAAAACAAACTAAAAAGCAAAAAGAACTGGGGGCATGGCTCAAGGGGTAGACAAAACAAAACAAAAACCTTGTACCTATCATTGCCACCAAAATATGCAAATCTTATCTTCTAGAGGCTAGCTTGTTTTTTCTACAATTCAGATAGCAACCCATCATTTGGTGAACCACCCAAACTAGCCAAGTGGGGTTCACAAGGGTCATGGGAGCATATGTGGAAAATGAAGCTTACAGTCCAATCTACATAATTTCCCAAAAAAGTGGGACTTTACTAAATAATTACTATGTTATATAGTTCTTAAGAGTAAAGGGAATAAGGTAAATGAAGAGGGTAAAGGAGGATGAATACAGTCGATGTACTTTCTATACATGTATGAATATGGAACACTGAAACCTATTGAAGTAATTTTAAGAAGGAGAGTGAGAGAAAATGGAGAATAATGGAGGGGATAAACCAAACCGGGGTACAATATGTGTATATATAGAAATGTCACAATGAAACCCCTGTATAACTATCATATACTAATAAAAATATTTATCCAGGCACCAATAGTTCATGCCTGTAATTCTAGCTACTTGGGAGGCTGAGACCAGAAGATCATTATTTGAGCCCAGCTCAGGCAGATAAAGTTTTAGAGACCCCATCTCCAAAATAACCAGAGCAAAATGAACTGGAGGTGTGGCTCAAGCAGTAAAGTGACTGCTTTGCAAATGCAAAGCCCTGAGTTCAAACCCAATTCCCATCAAATAAGTAAATAAATAAATGTTGCCTTTAGTGAAACTGACCTCCCCAAAGATCTTAAACAGCTATGAAAAGATTATAAAGAGAATTCAACATTCAAGATCAGGGAGCAAGCTTTTCCTATAGCAATCAAATGATCACTTTTTTAGGCTTTGTAGGCTAGGTGTGCTCTCTGTTAAGTTGTCTCCAGATATATTTGAAAATAGCCATAGACAACATGTAAACAAATAGGTAAGGCAAACTGAGCACTGGTGGCTCACACCTGCAATCCTTGCTACTTGGGAAGCTGACATCGGGAGGATCAAGATCCAAGGCTAGCCCAAGCAAAGAGACTTCATTTCCAAAATAACCAGAGTAAAATGGGCTGGAGATGTGGCTCAGTTAGTAGAGTGCCTGATTTGTAAACACATAAGCCCTGAGTTCAAACCTCTGTCCTACCACAAAAATAAAAAATAAAGCAAAACAAATAGGTATGACTATATTCTAATAAAACTTTATTTGTGGGTACTGACATTTGAATTACATATAATTTTCATGTGCTACAAAATATACTTCTTTTAAATTTTTAATGTAAAACCATTTTTATCTCTCAGGCAGCACACCAGATTTGGCTCATACACCATAAATTGCCAATCCTGCCATAGATGATTAAATGAGCAAGTGTCTACAATAGTAGATTATATAGTAATAGGTCAAAGAAGAAAGACACCAGCTAGGACCAAAAGAGTCAAAAGCTTCCTAGGGAAAGTAAGATTTAGATTGGGCATTAAAGGAAAGGTAAGATATAGACAAATGGAAGAGAAAAGAAAAGATGCATCTCTCTGGCATATGGTGGTAACAAGAGAAACAGTGAAAGAAGATTTAGATTTTGGGGGGTTGAAGCGGTACTGGGGTATGAACTCAGAGCCTTACAAGTATAGACAGGCACTCTACCACTTGAGCCACTCCACCATCCCTTTTTTATGTTGGGTTTTTTGTTTGTTTGTTTGTTTTTTGCAGTACTGGAGTTTGCACTTGGGGCCTACACTTTGAGTCATTCCACCAGCCCTTTTTTGTGAAGGGTTTTTTCGAGATAGGTTCTCGTGAACCACAGTCCTCTTGATCTCTGCCTCCTAAATAGCTAAGATTACAGGCATGAGCCACTGGTACCAGGCAAGATTCAGGTTTATGATTGAGAATGTACAGGAGAGATGGAAGGGACCTGGATATCATAATAAGGAATTTGAATTTAGCCCTCATATAAATAGCATTTCTAGATTATTCTTACAGGGGAAATAGGACTGATTTGACAGGAGAAAGACTAAGAGCAGGAAGGCTAAATTGGGGATACTACAGCTGTACAAAGTGTAAGAGCCTGGGTGATTGTAGGGACAGTGACAGAAGAAAAGGGACAGTGTCAAGACATGGTGGAGGACTGGGGATGTAGTTCCCTGGTAGAGCCTTAGGGGAAAAAACACACAGGCAGGGACAGTGGCTCGAGCCTGTAACCCTAGCTACTCAGGAGGCAGAGATTAAGAAGATTACAGTTTGAGGCCAGCCTGGGGAAAAAGTTCTCAGATCCCATCCCAACCAATAAAAGCTGGGTGTGGTGGCATGCACCCATCATCCCAGCTACATAAGAAGGGTAAATAGGATGATGGCGGTCTAGGCTACCCTAGGTATAAATTCAAGAACTTGTTCACAAAATAATGAAAGATAAAAGGCTAGGGGTGTGATTTAAGTGGTAGAGCACCTGCCTGGCAAGCTCAAGGACCTGAGTTCAAATCCTAGTACTTCAAAAAAGAAAAACAAACAAAATAAAATAGAAAAACAGTTGTTCCTAACCCATAAGCTCAGGAAAAAGGAGAATCCATTGGAGGAGAAAGAAAAAGAGAGCTATTCCAATACAGGTAGAAAGGATGCAGGTATAACTCAGTGGTAGAGTGCTCTCCTAACATATGCAAGGCCCTGGTTTGATTACCAGCACCAGAAAAATAAAAGATAGGTAGAGAACAAAGAATGTATAGAACATTATACAGGTTAGGGTGAAAATGTTTCACAGAACAGAATGTGTTTGGCAGGGGTTCAAAAGCTGTGGGAAAGATGATTGGGAGACGTGTAAAAGAGAAAGCCCATCGAACTCAACAGACCTTGGGAGATCATCTGTGAAGTTAAAGAAAGCTTAAAATCAGATTACAAAGCTCAAATGAAAGGATCCCTTCCATTCAAAGAAGAGTTTATGCTAGCTCCTGGGAGGTCAAACAGGATAGAGCACGCCCAGGCTGGAAATTTGGCTCAATGGGCACCTGAGTGAGGTCAGCCATAGCAAATGCAAACATGGCAGGTAGAAACAGCATGTAGCAACAGTTCAGAAGTCAGCAAGGACTCAGTAATCAGACTGGAAAACTAATAGGAATCCTGCCAGAGAGTCGGGACAACAAAGGATAATCAATTATGAAAGACAGCGGCTAAAAGAAAAATAGGAATGTATCCAGATGACCCCTTGGAACCTACAGTGCTAGCAAAATGCCTCACACAAAATACCCATTAAAAATTTATTGAACAAATGAATGTATACACAAATAATAACATATGATACCAAAGAGAAAGAGCATGAGTTTAGAGTAAGACCTTGATTCGTCTTCCACTTATTCACCATAAACATTTATTATATTATATAGTATACTTTATTATATGTGCCTGGAGTATTTAAGACTAGAAGGACCTCAAGATAAAAAATGCACCTCTTTGTTGGCATGGTGGTCATGCCTATAATCCCAGCACTCAGGAGACTGAGGCAGAGGATTGTGAGTTGCAGGCTGGCCTGGGCTACCTAATGAGACCTATCTCCAAAAAAAAAAACAAAACAAAAGCAGTCCTTGACTTCAGCAACTCACAGGAGACTGACAGAGTCAGAAAGAAGCAGACAATTGTTCTGCAATATGATAATGTTGTGACAAATTTCTGTGCAGAGGTATCCCTCTAGCCTCTGGGCTCCCAAAGGTGCTGCACTTGGACCTGAAGGGGCAGGTGGACCTTCAGGTAAAGCATCAGGAGGACCAGGGAAAGAGAATTTGAAAGTAGGGGGATGTGAAGTGATTCCAGCCAGCCAGAACAAGGGCAGATGTTCAGAGGTGAGTGAGCACAGCTTGTTCAGGGAACTCTAAATGTTTAAGCACATCTAGAGCCAAGTGCAATGTACTAGGTCAGGGGAGGGAAATGGGGATGGAGTAGAAAAGGCCAGAGTATAAATAGGAGCCAGATCACAAAGGACTTTGTGTAACATGCTAAAGAGATTGGGCTTTCTTCCTGAAGGTGATGGAAAGCAAATGAAGAATTTTAAGCAAGGGAGAGACATGATCAAATTTGCATTTTAGAAATAGCATCAGCGTGGAGGATGGGTTGGAAGCAGATGAGTCTGGGAGTAGGGAGAATAATTTATAGGGTGCTGATAAGTGAAAATGATGAGGGCCGAAACTCAGCAAAAAGGTAGTGGATGTGTAGGGGCCAAGAGACAGCAATAATAGGTTAAGGCTTCTGATTACTTTTAGGGAGTAAGGGGAAACAAAGAGACTAGGTGACTTCTATCTTCTGGCTTCGAATCTGGGAGAAGGAGGCAGTGGAGGGGGAGAAAAAGAAAAAGATAAGCTGGGCACTGGTGGCTCACGTCTGTAATCCTAGCTACTCAGGAGGCAGAGATCAGGAGGATCACAGTTCAAGGCCAGCCCAGGCAAACAATTTGTGAGACTCTTATTTGAAAATATCAAACACAGAAAAGGGCTCGTAGTGTGGCTCAAGTGGTAGAATGCCTCCTAGCACATGTGAGGCCCTGAATTCAAACCCCAGTACCACCAAAAAAAAAAAAAAAAACCAAGGATAAGAGAAAGGACATGTATAAACTCTTTTCCATGATCCAAGTACTGTGTGAGAAATTTTACACATACTACTTTAGTCTTCACAAAAAGCCTGGATAAGGAGGGTTATTAACCCCCTTTTTCCCCCAAGATAAAGAGAACTAAAATCT